TTTTTTTTTTTTTTTTTGGTTTGAATTGGTGTGTGAGTGATAGGGTAACATTGGTCTCCAGGAATATACCATTGGACGGTGCAGACTTCCTTAGATCTGAATCAGGACCCTGGACTGGGGAGACTCCTGTGCAGGCCAGCTCTGGAGAAGCCAGGGAGTTTGCGCCTGCAGCTCCACAGGGCTCTGCTCAAGGGCAGGGGACACGGGTGGCTCTGGTGCCTGGAGGGAGAGGAAGGCTTCCGCTTTCTCGGAAGTTGACAGTGCTCTTGAGCAGTTCAAACACTCTTCTCAAAAATGTTTTTTTTTGTAAATGGATGGGTGTGTTTTCATACACATTGTTTCTTGTGAAGCATGAAAAGGGAAGGATGCCCAGCTTGGTGGGTCATACTTACATTTACAGTGGGGGTGGACCCCCCCCAGTCTCTCTGTGGGGGGGGGTTGTCTCCATGTGGCACCCTTGTGTGGGGCCACCACGGACGGGGACTCTATTTGTATTCTCTCCCTTAGGCACAGTGGGGGGAGGTTGAACTCGAATTGGCTAATCAGAGCCCATTTTCTGTGCTAGTATCTTTCATGCTTCACCAGCCAACTGCCTTTTGTTTTGTTTTGTATTCTGTTGCGCATATTAGCACAGAAATAGAAATAGTTTCTGAAACCTAGTTTATTGTGAAGATCCCCAAGGGGGAAGTTCTGCTGTAGAGAAAAATAGTGAGAAGCGGGCTTAGAACCAACCTTCTCCCCAGACAACTGTCTGGCTCTGATGAGGGCAAACGTCCAGGAAAAGTCGGAGAGGAATTTGCCAAAGATCTGCCCCATGACATTGCCTGTCCAGTGTCTTCACCATGAGAATAGCCAAAGTTCCAAAGTGTTTTTTTTTTCTTTTTTTAAAACTCCACAAAGTTTTAAAAGTGCATTTAAGAATATGTGTGATTTTACAGTGGGACTACCAGCCTGGGCGATTGCTGTATTGCTTTTAGAAGGTTCAATGCCTGGTGACGCCTCTGGAAGGTACTTAATACATATTTTGATCTGTTTCCTTCGTTTCCTTTTTGTTCTTTTAACAGATCGATCTATCCCTGTGGGTGGTGTCTAGGAAGTCAAGACACCTTGGTTTTTGTGTTAGGTTGAGCTGGGCAGCTGCAATCAGCTTTATGCAAATTAGGCATGGCCCATCTAGGGGCTCCTGGTTGGTGGCTGATAAAGGGAGGGGAGGGAAAGATGTCACCCCAAAAGTAAGCCCCTCGCATTGGCATTGGCCAGGCCAGACACTTAACATCGTTTACATGGTTCTGTGTAATTATAAAGTTTATGTGTATAAAGCGAAGCTGTTTCTGTGAAACTGTATATTTTGTAAATAAATATATTGCTACTTTGAGGTTCCTGACTAGCTTCAGGTGTTTGTTTTCTGTGCTGAAGGGCGTAGCTGTGGCTGACCCCCCCCCCCCCC